TTTCTTTTCAGTACTCTCCGTTAGTCAACGTCTTAAACGATTCTTTGGATTAATCAAACAAAAATTGATTGATTTGAATTTATTTCAACGTGTTCCTCCAACACAAGATGAAAATATTCTTCGACAAGAACGTTATACTACACGACTTTATATAATTCTATTAATTATGTCGCTGATCATTTTCACTATTTTCACATCTATTGTACCACAAACAATTCATATTACTTCTGAATCACTATCACCAGAGAAGTTCAGTCAACTTTATCAGCAATATCCAAAAACACTTGATTGTCCTTGTACTCAAACAACAATCGACTATCAATTAATGTGTAACATCACACCTCAATATCATGAAGTATGTTCAAGTGAATTTGTCTCTTCTAGATGGATCAATATTGAATTTAATAAACCTTCAATGGCAAATTTATCAACAGATGATTTTCGTTACCAATCTCAATTTCACTTTCAACTTTTATCAACATTATGTCAAATGGCTGATGAAATAGTTCAAGATTCTCTTCAATCATTCAATCAAACTAAATTTGTCACAAATAAACTATTAGATCGTCAATCATTTAAAACGCAAATCGATTCAATCGTGGCAGATTTCAAAAAAAGTCTACCTCCATTATTTCAACGTGTAATTCAATTGATAAAAACAAACTTCAACATTAATCAATTCATTACACCAATGAATTCTGAATTTGATCGTGATACAGGCGATGACGAATTAAACAGATATATTGACATACGTACTTTTTATCGTCTACGGTCAGAAAAACAGAACTATTCCGTAAACGAAGAAACCTTAAACAACGCACTTTTCTGCTATTCTATTTCTTCATTTGAATGTTACCAGGAGACCAGGATAAAAGAATACGCAATTAACGACATTATTCCTGGAATGGTACAATCATGGTTTCCTTTTCAAGCACTTTTGATGTCAACATTAGAATGTTTTTATAATGAAACATGTCTTTCTAACATCAAACTATACATTAACTCAACTCAATCATCAATTAACATTACTACACTAAACTCATCATCATTGAATAATAGTCAATATGATCGAATTGAAACATTGGCTAATGATCTTTTTATTCGATCATGGGATAATGAAAGTTCCTATCAATCATATTTTAATCATTGTCACCCATTAACATGTCAATACAGTTATAAAAGTCGATTAAATTTTATTTATATTGGAACAAAAATTATTGGATTTATGGGTGGTATCAATGTTGTTCTAAATCTATTATTGCCATTTATTGTTAAATTATTGACTAAACTTTGGAATTACATTCTTCAACGTCAACGAAATAACTCCAACACAGTAAGAGTATCAATATCTATACGAACCCGTACGAAAACTTTAGGTACAAATCTTATAGTAACTATTTATTATTATTCATTTTAGGATTTTGGAATTATCTTCGAGTTCTTTGGATGTCTAGTAAAAAAAATATTGAAGAATTAAATCTCTATCCAATTATTCCACCATCAACAGATTCACAAATTATTCGTCGAAATCGACACATAACTCGAATCTATTTAATATTATTAATTACAGCTTTGTTCATTCTTATTATTTATACATCATTGAAACAAGAAACAGTGACAGTGTCAGTTCCATATCCATCATTATCAAAATACGAAGAATTATTCGTTCAATATCCTATAACATTGCAATGTCCTTGTGATCGTATTACAATCAAATTCAATGAGTTTATCTCTCAAATTGAACCTCAATATCATCAGATCTGTTCAAGTGTCTTCGTTTCACAAAGATGGCTCGATAGTGTGTCTTATAACATATTATCGAGAAATGACATAATGGATGAAGACTTTCATCACATACTTCAGATGCAATTCCAAACTTTGTTAACACTTTGTAAAGTCTCTAAAAGTACATTAAATATATCGTTGTCAATATTCAAAGAAACTGATTTGATTACAGCATATGTTATTTCTCATGCTGAATTCAACAATCGAACAGAAACAATTATAGAACAGTTCAAACAAACAACATCCAATCAGTTTATTGAAACATTTAAATTAATTCAAGCAACAAATCATGCAAATCAACTTGCCACATTGTTTTACTCTAACTGGGTGTTCTTTAGAAAATATCCAGATAAATATGCAAGTTCAATTAACGATGAGCTGATAGATGTACTAACTCGACCAAAAGAATATGGAACACATAATTGTTCATGTGGAATACAATCAAATTGTTCAAAACTATCCGAATTTCGATTTCTGACATTAGAAAAACCATTCACAGAACTTCTTTCGGGATTTCTTCGTGGGTGTATGATGTTCGATTCTTTGTTGCAGTCGACTTTGACTTGTCTCTATAATAAGACATGTCTTGGTTTTATGCAAGCATCTATATACGATTCTAAACCTCTACCAGTTAAAATTCTCTCGTACTCTTCATTAGAAATGCCTAATGCAACGATCGAAACACTTATTAATCAAATGTTTGTTTCTCAATGGTTTCAAAATACATCATTTGATCTTTATTTTAATCAATGTGCACCTCAATCATGTGAATATTCTTATGTATTAGAATATAACTCGCTGTATGTTGTAACAACATTAATTGCTCTCTTTGGTGGTTTGACAGATGGACTATATTTTGTTGTGAAGGTTTTAGCAATTATCGTATACAAAATCGTTGATTGGCGAAAGAAGAAAAGTCAAGTCGCACCAAATTTAGAATCATCGAATATCATTATGAACAATGAAGATAATGAGGAGGCGAGCGACGCAGTTTCGATTTCGACAACGACGACAACAGTTCAGGTGATTCTTTTTTCCTATTAATAAGGAATTCATCAATCCCGGATAACTGGCACTGGTGCATTTTTACCCTCGATATTTTCTTCTATTTTGCTTGACATTCGTAATTTCACCATGATAATACTTTTCAATTTTTTTAGGTCAACATGACTTCTATCGAAGAACGGCGACATCCGTGAGTAGTAGAATGAATCAAATTTCTTACATTCATCTTTTGTTTTATCATTATTCTTAGAGAAAAATTGCGTCGAGATCGAAGAATGCTAATTGGTTTAAGTCTGTTAAGTATAGTTGGAATAATAACAGTGTCTGTTATCTTGTTTATGGCTCGAAATAAAGAACAGCAGATGATCTCAACAACCATACAAACAATTACAAAAACCAGTAGTAGCTTCATATCAGAACCGACATCAACAGGTAACTTTAATGTGTAATAAGCAATGAGTTAATTGTTATGTTTTGTAGATATTTGCCATATGACTTTGAAATATCAATCTCAAACTTATCCAACTGGTCCTAATCCTGCATCATTCGTGACTGGTGATTTTAATCATGATAGCATTGACGATTTAGCTGTGACTAATCCTGAGTCAGATACAATTAGTGTGTTGTTGGGAAATAATGATGGAAAATTTCAAACACGACAAACCTATTCAACAGGAAAAGGATCTAGTCCAAGACAAATAGCAATTGGTGATTTTGATAATGATACATTCTTAGATTTAGGTAAGATATTATCATATGACGAATATCTTTATTATCAAATGTCATATAAATACATCGACTAAGAATCTCGGTTTGATGTTTAAGACAAAACTGTCTATATTCAGTTAGAGTCAAAGAGAGAACAAAATGATATCTAGCAATTTTGAATGGTAACTTCGGGTTAATCTAAACGATTATATGAAAGAGCACGTTAAAGAATTCTATATTGATTTGAGCAATGTTATGTTTTATCCTTGTTATCAAGGAAAAACAAAGGCACTGAAGTCTGATTAGTTAAGAACTCTTATTTACTAACCAGTCGGATTTCACTATGCATTTTTCACATGATTGCAATACTCTTCAGCTAAGTTCAGGGGTGTAGAATAGTTCGATCGTTGTATTAACTTTGTATTTACATATATATGAAACGATGAAAACATGCTATAGTTTGAATAGTTCTGAATATTGTTGAAATTTTTCAAGAATATCTGTATTATATATGTAGATCTTTCGTAGCAAACTTTACAGTCATTTCTTTTGATTTTATACTATCGCATCTTATCGAATGATTGAACATAACTGAACTCAAGATGAAATTTGAATATTCATATTTCGAAATCTAAGCTTTGTATGTATGAGATTCGTTATGTTAAACTGTAAATAAAGAATATGAATCTTGAGGATGTGAGTGTAGAAATTGATTTGAAATGGTAATCTTCTTCAATTAATTTCATTCCAGCATTTTACTCTCAAAAAGTACTCTATTTATAATGACAGAAAAATAATAAGATTAATGAATTTTATTGAATTCGACTATGATTGATACCTCAAAGTTGTTCTTTTTTTCTAGTTATTGTTTTATCCGCAACAAAAGAAATAGTTATTTTTTATGGTACTGGATCAAACAATCTATTTATTCCATCAACTGACGATGTTATCAGCAATTCAATATACATTCAACCGAATGCGATCGCAGTTGTTGATATCACTAGTGATGGTTTTATTGATTTAGTTGTTAGTCTACAAGATGATCGAGATTCTCGATACCAATTTACTGCCTTTGTAAATATGGGCGGCAGATCTCAATTTGAAGGTAGACTATGCGTGTGTACGATCTACGGTGGTATAGTCATTTCAATAGTCGTCGATGATTTAGATAATGATAAAAGACGAAATGATATGATCTGGCTCACCAGTGATGGTCTCGTGATAACTCGCAGTGCAGATGTAGGAAAATTTGACTTCAAAGAAAAAAATTTCACAGATGACAAAATGTATAAAAATTCATCGGCTGTAGTTACAGGAAGATTCAATGACGATGAATTCGTCGATTTGGCGCTGATTTCTTCTCAATCGGACACATTACAAGTTTTACTTCGCTATAAAGATAAATTAGAATGGAAGAGTATTCCAATGATTTATCTCACAGATCATTATCCGACATCTATTGCTCGAATTAATTTTAATAATGATCAAATCGATGATTTAGCTATATTACATTGCAACGGAACTGTAGCAATATTTATTGGCTCAACTGATGGACTTTTTGAACGAAAAGATTTATCTTTTGGAACTCATGTGGGTTGCACTGATAAATGTTGCCAGTCATTGCAAGTAATTGATTTGGATCGAGATGGAAGAAATGATTTAGTGTTTATTGATACAGAAATGAATAGCATTCAAGTTATTTTAGGTTTACCTTGCAATGAATAGACATCCTTGTTAGTTTGCTTTTGATATTGTAATAATTTCAATAAATATTTATTGTGTTTCAAATGTGATGTTTGATAAATGCGTGAGTTAAAGTTTGAGAATATTTCTAGAAGAGATAATAAGACATCGGAAATGTTAATCAAATGATTTATTTATCGATCTGCAATGTTGATAAGATAAACATTATAAATGTATATATGAGCGAAGATAATGGATGCCGATTCGGAAACTTTGAAAAAATAGAGTTGCTGCGTTATAATTTCAATGTTTGAATTGTGTTGATGGTAATCAATAAAAGTTAAAAGTAATATTCATGTGATGAATGATTGAAAGTGCACTTAAAATGATAATTAACACTATAGCCGCAACATTATAGATATAAAGTTAAAATACGCGATCTTCAGAACAGTATATAAAGATTTAGATAAAACGTCTCTGTAGCTATATTTTATATAAACTACTGGAAAGTAACAGTACTGATATATGCACATTATGATGACATTTTTCTCTTCGATCTTGCAGAGGATCATTTTTGAACACTGAATTAGAGATCTACGGAGTTCGAATCTTTTGGCTTTGATATCGAAGAAGTTTAATTTCAGCTACCAATAATATCAATCTTTCTTCAAAATGTTGATGCGGGTGTGAGATGAATGTACTACCCACATCACTCTCATCTATTTGACCACACATTTGTATTCGCATAAATGTACTAATGAAGATCGAATATATTTTACGTGAAATATAATCATAATATCGAGAGCCCAGATTTGAGCTTGATATATTTCTACGGCTAAGTATGATGAAAGACAGGCCAAATATATATGAAGGATGTGAGTGTGGATGTTACAATATGTTATCTATTTCACACCCACCCCTGCACCCATACCCTCAATAACTGAGAAGTAGTATG